GGAAGTGGTCTCCTAAGCCAGGAAGTGGTCTCCTGTGCCAATGTGTTCAAGACTACTTCCCATTTTCTCTTCTATCAGGTTCAGTGTAACTGGATTTATGTTGAGGTCTTTGATCCACTTGGACTTGAGTTTTGTGCAGGGTGATAAATATGGATCTATTTGCATTCTTCTACATGTTGACATCCAGTTATGCCAACACGGTTTGTTGAAGATGCTTTCTGTTTTCCATTGTGTAATTTTGGCTTCTTTGTCAAAGACCAGGTGCTCATAGGTGTGTGGATTTATGTCAGGGTATTCAATTCAATTCCACTGATCCATGTATCTGTTTTTGTGCCAATACCAAGTTGTTTTTATTACTATAGATCTATAGTAGAGCTTGAAGTGAGGGATGGTGATACCTCTGGAAGTTCCTTTATAGTACAGGATTGTTTTAGCTATACTGTGTTTTTTTTTATTTTCCTATATGAAGCCTGAGTATTGTTCTTTCAAGGTCTCTTGAGAATTGTTTGGATTTTGATGGGGAAAGCAATAGAAATCCTAACTCAGACAGGCCCCATAAATAAAGCTGAGAATAAGCATGGGGGGGGGCTGGGAAGGTGGCTTAGCTGGTAGAATGCCTACAGCATGAGCATCAGGACCTGTGTTTAACCCAAGAACCACATATAAAAAGCCACACATGGCAGTGAGTGTGTAAAATTCCAGTCCCAGGGAAGAGACAGGTGGAGGATCCTTGGAGCTCACTGGCCAGTCAGCCTAGCCTGTTCAGTGGGCTTCACAACAGATCCACCTCAAAAAGCCAAGGAGGACTGTTCCTTATGAACAACCGAGACTGACCCCAGGCTCCTGCATGCACACCCTCCTTCTTACTCTCCATACAAAAATAAGTACAAACCAATTTGTATCCTAGGTCAATTACCCTGATATAAAATGTTTCAGGGTTTGTTTTGATTTGGGGATATTTTCATGTACTTTAACTGGATGAACATCTCTCACTCAAAAAAACCAAAATGCTCTAAAATCTGAAACTTCTTGACTGCTAACCCATAAATATCATCAAGTATTAATGTTCGGAATATATAAATGATAAGCTTTGAAACAGGAAGAACAAACATGAAAAAACCATTGGGGAAATAATGGCCAAAGGATCCAAAGGGGCAGGAATCTATTGACAATCCAGGAAACAAACTGGAGCCCAGTGCTACGTCACCCGTCTGCCCCACCCTCCCCACTGCTGATGCTCCCTGGACTCTGGGAAACCTCAGGGGTACTTGCTTCCACAGGGCAGGGGAGACATCAGCAAATGCCTACATCTGGGACTTTCAGAATGTCTATAGTACTGAAACAACACAGCATTCCAATGTGAAATTGTGAACTATCTATTTCATCTACTCTTGGTAGATTCAAACGGCCTTCCTGAAGTCCCTGCTCTAGGTCCCCACTGACTGCTCAAAATGATCCCGTGCGGCTCTGCAGCCACATGGGAGCACTTACTGGACACGTCATTCCCACGCACTAAGCATTTTACTCTAGTCCTATGAAGTCTACTGTCGTCAATTTTCTCTTTCATTTATTTTTTAGGAAGACGATCAAATGCTTCGACCATTTGTGCACCAACAGTCACAGATGCTAAGGGATTTGGAGGACCTGCTTGAATCCAGCTTACAGAAGCTGAAAAATGACGTTGCTTTCATAGTGAAGAAGAAGAAGGAGTATCTACTGCATATCCAACAGTGAGGATGAGCAAACTAAAAACTGCAAACATACTGAGTTAATGAGCATCATTGACTCATGTAATGGTATCTACCTGTTTTAGGTAAGACATCTCTACTTGCCTTTTTTCTGATAAGGACTTACTATGGGAACCAGATTGGCCTTATCTGGCCTCTGTATCCCCAGTCCCAATATGGGGATCACAGACCTGTACCACCACACTGGCCCTTAACTGGATTTAAAAATCCTATAAAAATAAACATATATACAGATGGTGGGGGAAGAGATGTCTGTGGTAAATGTTCAGAACCTGGAGTTCTGGATTTGATTGCCCACAGTTCAATCCTGGTTAAATCCATACATACTTATATACTGTGTACAACATGGGGTGACTTACTCACTCTCCCTAAGCCTCTCTCTCCTCATCAGTTATCTGGGATGGTTGATGATTACCAACCTCCTGACAGACAGCATGCTCAGTAAGCATTTACCATCAGTGCTTTCCTGAAAAATAGTTCATTTTTTTTCTTTTAAAGATTTTATTATGTGTGTCTATGTATGTCTATACACATGCGTGGTACTTTTTTAGGCTAGAAAAGGGAGTTGATCATCTGGAGCTAGAATTACTGTCAGCTCTACTTTGGGTGCTGGGCACTGATCTTGGGTCTTCTGTGAGACCAGTACATGCTTTTAAGCACTAAGCCATTTCTCCAGCATGCCCCCCCCTTTTTTTTTTGAGACAGGGTCTCACTCTTAACCCAGGCTGCCCTGGTCCTTTGTTTCATATACCAGTACTATTATTGTAGATGGGAGCTGACATCCCTGGCTTTTCCATTCCACACTTTAAATAAAGCCCATTTGATTAGTTTTGTTTTTGTTGTCAGAAATAGACAATGGTTAGTTCACAGTTCTTATTCTGTACTCTGCTCTGAACAAGTTCACCCATCCACAAGCTGCCTCCACTTGTTTTCTACGCCTGTGTTTATTTGAAATACATTCAATTGGCTCAGCAGCAGCAGTGCCGTGCTATAGCATCCCCGTGGTGCAGAGTTAACTGTTAGCAAACTCCTTTCGGTAGACAGCTCATCCTGCAGGGGACATTGATTCCACGGGTGGCTAGTGAGTCCTAAGAGATGGAGAGACACTGAGAACTCTAGGAAGGGTCTACAAGGAAACCTTTCCGGGCCAGGGAAACCTAATAACAAGAATAGTGAACCTTGGGGCTGGAGAGGTGGCTCAGAGGTTTAGAACACTGGTTGCTCTTCCAAAAGACCTAGGTTCAATTCTCAGCACCTACATGGCAGCTCACAACTGTCTGTAACTCAAGGATCTGTAACTCTGTCTGAAATAGCGGCTCTATCTAACAGATATATATGCAGGCAAAAAAAAACAATGAACATATTTTTAAAAAGTTTAAAAAATAATAGTGAGCCTTAGCACACACACCAGGTGCCAGACTCTAATCATAATTCTAAACATTTGTTAACTTAACTCAATTCTCACAATAATTTTATCACTTAATGTATGCAGTACTTCCATGAAGGTTCCTCAAAAAAACAGATCAAGCAATCCCATTATATACTCAACATAACTGAAATCAGCATGTTGAAAGCTAGCCACACTCCATGTTCACTGCAGCATTATTCTCAAGCTGAGATAGGGCTCAAGTGTCCATCAATGCATGGCCAGACTTTTAAATATGGTGCATATATATATATGAGTGCTCCTCCAACTTAAGAACTACTTTCTAAATATTCATATTTACACCTTTATGCAAATGACATTGCAACCATGACCACAATAGGTGTGGCTGCCTGCACTGGGCCTGTCAGCTATCAATCACAGATTGGGAAGGGGCTTGTTAGGCCCCCCTGCCACTCCCTGCCGAACTACTGACTACTGACAGAACTGGAGCCCAGTCACTGTCTTCAGTTGTGTACTCCCTGATAAACCCACTGGGCTCCAATGGATAGCTCCAAAACCATGGGTACCCAGAAGGCCATGGTGGTTAAACTCAGTGGGTTACAGAACAAAAAAGGTGTGAATGTGGGGAAGCCACTGGTAGGGTTGACAGGTTAAAAGGGGATGAATGGGGGTGTGTGAGAGAAGCCAGAGTGTTATGTACATGAATGAAAGTTCAAAGAACAAATACACATTTTCTTTAAAAGCAGGAAACTCTCATTTGTGACAACACAGATAAGCCTAGAGGACATTGTGGTAAATGAATAATCAAAATATATAGAAAGAATTATTATATAATCTCTTATCTACAAAAAATACCTGACAGAACTGACTGTGGGATGGTATCTGCCAGGAGCTTGAGGTGGTGGTGAACTGGAAAAGTAGTCCTTCATCAATGGTACATATTACAAAGAGTAAGTCTGTGTGCTCTGTCTCAGGCTAACTGACCAGTTAACAGTGACTTCTCATGACAAATTGTAAGTCTGAGGTGATGGACGCTATTACTTTTGTTTATTCTATAATGTGCACATGTATTTTTATTTATTTATTTATTTATTTACTTTGGTTTTTCCGCAACAGGGTTTCTCTGTGTAGCTTTGGAGCCTATCCTGGCACTCGCTCTGGAGACCAGGCTGGCCCCGAACTCACAGAGATCCACTTGACTCTGCCTCCCAAGTGCTGGGATTAAAGGCGTGCACCACCAACGCCGGCGTGTACATGTGTTTAAATGCATCTTTTTTTTTTTTCTTCTTCTTGAGACAGGGTCTAATTATGTAGCCCTGGCTATCCTGGAACTTACTCTGTAGACTAGGCTAGTCTTGAATTCACAGATATCCTAGTTGGTTTTTTTTTTTTTTTTTTTTTTTTTTTGGTTTTTCAAGACAGGGTTTCTTTGGTAGCCTTGGCTGTCCTGGAACTTAATCTGTAGACCAGGCTGGCCTTGAACTCAGATGTGCCTGCCTCTGCTCCTGAGTGCTGGGATTAAAAGCATGAGCCACAACTACCCAGCTGTCATCCCCAGTCTTTGAGTATATGTATGTCATGTAATTATTAGGAGAGGAAATGTTCTCCTTAGCATTTCAATACCAAATATGGCTGAAATGCAAAAAGAAAATTTGAGAGAAATTCTGCTGAGGTTGTCAAGATCAATAGAAAGTCAAAAGCCATTTGCTTAAGACTAATCACAGTTATGAATGAAATCAGGGACAAAAAGAAGCATTAGTCCACTAGATTTTAGTGGGCTTTAAAGGCCACTTTAAAGCAGTGCTGATGCACAAAAAAAGTATGGAAGTCCAAACCAAAAAAAAAAAAAAAAAAAAAATCCATCATTCAATTAACAACCCTTTATTATTCAACTTAGGTAAACAATCCAAAATCAGTCCATGTAGATGGATGAGAAAGCAGAGTGAAATAGAAAAAGTACAGTTTTACTTAGCAGATGCTCTCACTATGCAGAGGAGCCCCCAGGAGGGAGAGGTTCCACATCACCTTACAAGGAAGGCAGAAGTCACTGCCATAGCCTAACACCAGTCGAGCCCCATCACTAAGGAATGCTGTTGGGACACAAACAGGGACCTTCACTATCCGACCTTCCAGTTCATTTGTCAATAAACAGGTAAGGAGAATATCAGTTTTCTCTCACAAGCAATAAAATCATAAAAACAGCTGAGGTATGAAGTTTAGGATAAGCTAGTATAATTTCCTGCTTTTAATGTATAGATATTTTAGACCTGACAGTCTTCCACATACAGTCAGATAGGTTTATAGAAGATTTCACATAATAGCAAATACAGAAGCTGTTCGTGCATCTTATGATTCAGCTAATCTTCAAATGTTTAGACTTCCGAGCTGCTAATGACACTAAATTCAATGCCATGTTGGTTGAGTCTGTCAATCAACTTTGTTCTGGAGAAAGCAGCTCCAGGTGTAAAGACACCGCCCCTGTAAAATAGTAACAAGAGAACAGAGTTCGTGTGGCTCCCTCCTCTCCAGTCCTCTCCTCTGTAGGACTATCGATCGAGTCACTGCCTAACCCTGAAAACCAGTTCTTTCCTGTCATAGGGGATTCTATGTGTATTACTTAATACTGTCCGAGGCTGTGCCTGACTTGCCATTTGCTTAGTTCCCAGGGCACCAGCTAAATGCTCAGTAAGAGTATACTCCATAAACACCTTTGCAGCACCCATGACTCAGTTCCCCAGTTGCTGCCAGGACTCCCCTGCCACCAAGTTGTATGCTCTGGTGCCCTGAACAACACTGCTGGATAAACAACACACCCTTTTCTGAGTGCTAGGCTCTAGACTTGAGTTTCTGGGTTTTTTGTTTTGTTTTGTTGTTTTTGATAAAGAACAGTAGGTAGCTTACATGGCTCTCACTCACCTTCACAGTAAATCCTAAGGCAGATAAGGAATTGTCCTTGGCATTGCTTTAACATATATCTTTGGGCCAAAGAACCAAAAACTTGTATGTAGACCCAGGACTACAAACCAACTCAAAAGCAGCTAAGATGTCACCAGGTTGAAAACACTTTCTCACTAGAAGAAATCCAAACTTACCCTTTAGGGAGATCAGAGGTATCATTCAGAAGAGTCATGGCAGCCTGAACCATGGCTATTGGAGTAGTCACGTAGCCAGCCTCTGTAGAGAAGGGTTGGGCAAAGAAAAATGATTAGGAAGTGAGCATCACCTCAAAAATCAATGGTGAATATACAGAGATTCTCTTAGCCCAAATGATGATTAACATTTATTTAGTTCATATATATTGAATATCCTTTGTGATTTTTTTTTTTTTTTTTTTTTTGGAGACAGGGTCTCATTGTGTAGGCCTGTCAGGGCCAGCCTGGAACTCAGAGAGATTCCTGCCTCTTCTGAGATTAAAGGCATGTACCACTCTGCCTAGCCTTGGAGATAATCTTATAAAATTTTTTGAGCACACCTGCAATTTGACGTTACCCAGTACATGAGGTCAAGTGCAGAATCTGCCACTTGTGCAATTGTTGGTCTGATTTTGGAGAATTTCAGAACACAGCTCCCCACCTGCACTTACATTAGGAACTGCCTATGCTAAATGCTTAAGACAAAACTGTTTGCACCACAGTTGTCTGTGAGCAACACCACTGCATCTCACTTCCCATACTAGGGCAATGACTATGCCACACTTTCCCTGGTCTCACAAAGCTAAAGCCAAGCAGTGGTTAAGCCAGTCACCCTCAGCTAGGGCTCCTGGGTCTTAGCAACCACCACACTGCTTCCTAACAACACTGGATGCTGAAGACACTCATTTCTGATTCTGTTAGTCCTATAAACTGATCCCTCCTTCCACATTTAACAAAAACAACTCTCAGTATCTTAAAAGAAAAACATGGGGGCTGGAGATATGGCTCAGCAGTTAAGAGCACTGGCTGCTCTTCCAGAACGCCAGGGTTCAATTCCCAGCACCCACATTAACTCACAACTGCCTAACTCCAGTTACAGGGGACACAACACCCACACACAGACATACATGCAGGCAAAATGTCAATGCACATAAAATGAAAATAAATTTTAAAAAAGAGGAAAAACAACTGATTGCATCTATTAACTTCAAGTCTATAATAAAGCAAGTCATTAGCATTTATATATAGTACTGTCAAATAATTGAAACATTACCTTTAAAAGCCAAGTTGTAAATCAAAAAGGTGTGATGTAAAAAAACCTGTCACCTGGCTTGATTAGTCCTGACCCACAGAGACTTTGGTAATTACACTTCTCCTGTGGCTCATGTGAGGGCTTGCCTTTGCACAGTGCTCCAGAAAGTTCTTCAGTCTTTAACAAATCATCAGAAGTTATTATGCTCACTTATAAAATGTGTAAATCTATATATTTCACAAAATTGGAAACCTTAGGCCACAGATTTGATTCAATAAAAATTACTTAAGAGACTGAAGCAGGTAAAAATCAGCTAACTTATTAAAATTTGCCATGCTCAAACTTGTTAAATTATGAAAAAGACTAGATCTGTTAATGAAATTGGCTAATGTCAACTTGTCTATAGAGAGAATTTCAAAATACTTTATCCATGCAAATGGATTCTAAAACACCACTTTACAGTCAAAGACAGTGTAAAACCCTGAAACACCCTTAAGACACACACACAGTACCTGGTCCTTTCACTTGGGTACAGATTCTGATATTTGGTTTGTTCTTCTCAGGACAAAAACCATGGCTGTATCCTTGACCAAAGAATGTCATCGTAAATGATGAGCCATCCATCTGTGAAAGAAAGAGCAAACAGTGTGGTTATTGATATGCTATTTCCTTCTAGAGCACAACAAACCCTAGAACACAACTTCACGTGAGACTTTTTTTCCTCACTAAATGTTTTAATGGGTCTCAAAAATCCTGTGACAGATTTTTAGTTTCCATTAAAAAGTACTGATTTTGAACACTAACTAAACTGCCTTGCGTACACACACACACAGACACACGCACACAGACACACACACACACATACCCCACACACACACACAGACACACACACACCACACACACACACACACACACCACACACACAGACAGACACACACACACACAGACAGACACACACACATATACACACACAGACACACCACACACAGACAGACAGACAGACAGACAGACAGACACACACACACACACACACACACACACACACCACACACAGACAGACACGCACACACACCACACACCCCCACACACAGACACACACACACACATATACACACACACCACACACAGACAGACACGCGCACACACACACACACACACACACCCACACACACACACACCCCCCACACACACAGACAGACACGCCCCCACCCCCCCCCCCACACACCCCCACACACAGACACACACACACATATACACACACGCCACACACAGACAGACACGCGCACACACACACACACACACACCACACACACAGACAGACACGCACACACACAGACACACAAGCACACACAGACACGCACACAGACACACAAGCGCACACACACACACACACACACACACACACACACACACACACACACACACACACGTGCGAGCGCGCTCTTTTCCTTCTGAGGGCTTTATGATGCACTGTATCACTAACCAGATTTTTCCTATTAACCCTAAATGTCTGCTGCGACCAACAGTTCTAGGATGCTCTTCCACCACTGATTGAGCCTGGAGTGGCAGGCATTAGGGCTGATACACACTTAGCCTTTTGAACTTTCTGGGCAGACCTGGTGACTTTGCCAGCTCAGGCAGCCTTACTATTCACAGCATTGATGACTCCCACAGCAACTGTCCACCTCATGTCACAAAAATCAAAATGACCCAGTGGAGGCTAGTCAGAGAAGCTCTTAACACACATGGGCTTGCCTGGGACCACACAAGATAAGGTTTTTGTTTCTTTGCTTTTTTCAAGACAGAGTTCCCTCGAACTAGTTCCAGATCACTGTGAACCACCACATGGGTGCTGGGAACTGAACCCAGTTCTTTTGCAAAAGTAGCAGTTTTTAGCCACTAGTCTATCTTTCCAGCCTCATATCTTATTTTTGTGTATTTGAGATAGGGTCTCACTGTGTTGCCCAAGGTAGACTTGAACTCATGGCCATGCTACCTTAGCTCCCATATACTAGGATGCTAAATGTGTTATAGTATATTTAGGATCAGGCTCTGTGGTGCCCATTAGGGAAAGTCATTTCTCTGGCCTGGATGGTGATCTAATATTCTAAGCTACACAAAGTAGAGTTAATCCAGTTGGAACTATCCATTGCCTGGCCAAGGGACCACATCTCAGGAAAGTGGGTTCACCTTAAACCATGTAAAAGATAGGAGAAATAATTATCCCTTTAATGATATAGCATCCCTTTCCTCCCAGAATCTCCTCAGTGTATTTAATTACACGGCACCATGCAGTTGCCATCAAATCTGTCCACTTTTGTGAATTACTCTAAAGTTTACCTGCCTGCCCCCATAAGGCTACAAAGGAATGGCACTGTTAGAAGGTGTGGCTTTGTAGGAGGAAGTGTGTCACTGAGGGAGCAGGCTTGAGGTCTCCATTACTAAACTTTGCTCCATGTAACAATCCACTTCCTGTTGCCTTCTGATCAAGATGCAGCCCGTACCGTGTCTGCCTACACATTGCCATACTCCCTGCCATGGTGATAATGGTCTGAACCTCAAACTGCAGGCGAGCTATTCCAATTAAGGGTTGTCTTAAAAGAATTGCTGCTGAGGGCATGGTGTCTCTGCCCAGCAACAGAAACCCTTCTGTCTCTCCTGAAAGCATTCTTTTCCTATCATTTGGGCTTCAATTTCTTAAACTCTCCTCCCTGCCAAGTGGTGAACCTCCCTGCCACTTTAACTAGAAGGCAGAGCTTTTTCCCCTACTTTCTTTTATCTAGCTTTCTCCTCGGGAAGGTGGCTTGTGATTTCAGCTTGCTGCCTGAAGTTTTTCTTTTAAACTCTAACAAAAACATCCATGAGTAAGTCTGGAGAGACTGCAATGAAGACAGGAAAGCCAACCAACAGATGGGAAAAGATCCGTGTATCCCTCAGCCCTCACTGGAGAAGCACCTTCTTTCTCTCAGTGGACTGTGTACAGAGGAAGACACTGGGGTGCTCAGCCCTACGTGGGTATCTTCACAAAACCACTCCCCGCAAGGCTCAGGGATAAGAAGCAGAGGTAGTGGCTAATTCCAAGGAAACAGTGTTGTCCAGAGACAGCAGGACTGACAGAATATACAGGACTTAACAGGCTCAAACCAGACTAAGTGCCAGTGCTGAGAAGGAGGTGGACACAAAGTTCCAACCCTAAGAAGGGTTTGATATGGATACATGATACATGCCAGGAAAAGGAAAAAATCCTTTCTGCAGCAGAGTGTCGCACACTCTAAGGCAGGCCCAGGAGCAATTGGCCAATACAAAACTGACTCCATTGTATGTGTGTTTGGGGGGAGCTTTTTCATTTGTTTTGGTATTTTTGTCCATTTTCATTTTTGTTTTGAGAGAGAACAAGAGAGAACATAAGGTTGGGTGGGAAGGGAGGAGGGGAGAAGTTGGGGGAAGGGAAAGAATATGATCAAAGTGTATTACAGAAAACTTGAGGCCAGGTGGTCGTGGCAGTAGCGCACGCCTTTAATCCCAGCATTGGGAGGCAGAGGCAGGTGGATCTCTGTGAGTTTGAGACCAACCTGGTCTACAGAGCGAGTGCCAGGACAGCCTCCAAAGCCACAGAGAGACCCTGTCTCAAAAAATCAAAATAAGTAATAATAAATAAAAATTTTCCTTAAGTTTTCTTCTGAGTCCATTCTTAAATATTGTCACTAATGAGATTAAGGAGCCCAGGAGGGACCCTGTTTCCCCCGGTAATACACAGCAGTTCTCGAGGACTTTCCCAAATTCCAGTAACCGGTGTGTGCTGCCATGGCACCTAAGCACAGGAATGTTTTCTCCAGGAGGATTGGATCTGAACCAAGGCATGTGAGATACATGTAGAGGAAGAGCTGTGATGCCTGTGTATGGTTGGAGAAAGTGGAAGTGACATCACACAAAATGGACGACACAGAAGAGGGTTTTAGGAGAAAGGACACAGATTTCGGCACACTGAACTTTAGGTGTCCACAGGGTGTGGAACTGCCACAGGCAGACTTGTCAATCTGGAGATGGGTGCTGCTAAGAGCTCTGCTGGGAGTGAGTGAAGACCATGGTTCCTAGGGGTCTGCAACTAGAAGAGAGAGGATACTGCAGCACAGCAGGCAGAAAGATGAGGGAAACCTGAAGGGCATTTATCTCAGAAGTCCCCCACACCACAACACAAGTAAAGCAAGTTTAAAAGTGTGTTATATTAGAGACCTAGACATAAGAAACAACTATTACCTGTTTTTGTGTTGGACCTTGTTTTGAAAAATAACCAAAGGAAAAGAGCCATGGGAACTAAAAGAAAAAACAAAAAACGAGCTTAGTGATACTTTCAAATATTCATAAGAAATATTTCTGAAGATCTTATTTCATAAAAAAAACTTACTTTTATGAGAAGGTGTCTCCCAATGCTAAACTTCACAAAGAATAAAAAGAAAAGTCCTGCAAACATCAGCTTAATAACAGAGGTGATGCCTCCCACCGTTACGTATGCAGCATACTGAACCTAAGTGCACAATACAAAGTCAGGTATTAATCTAGTTCAAAGAATGGTGGCTACACTACACTTATACTTTAGTTACAAACACTGAACAAAGCAGTTTCCATCTAATGACTGCATTATGTTCTAACACTGGGTGCCTAGGTTTTAAAGGAATTATTACAAATGGCAATCAGCTTGCTCTACTTGAACACCAAAGTCCACATCATCTACAATTATCTGAGTCTAGTAATACTACAATCATAGCTCCCCCTAAGAGACAATACATTTCACCCTTTATTTCTTCCTCCCCTTCCTTTTCTTTTCTTCCTCTTCTCTCTCTCCTTTCCTCTCCTCTTTTGTTTAAGGCAGGGTCTCATTCTGTAACTCAGGCTGCTGGTCTTAAACTCACTATGTAGTCCAGACAGGCCCTGGATTTACTATATAGCCCAGGCTGGCCTTGAACTCGTAGAAATTTCTCTTGCCTCAGCTTCCTGGATTCTGAGATTACAGGCATAAGCCACTATATCTAGTTTATCTTCTACCTTTTAACCTGAGATAGTTTCCTCTTGATGTCTCAGTATGAATGACTATTTCCTTCACCAAAAGGAGTGTGTTGGTATTCTAGAGGAAGGAAGGAGACCAAAGGGTGGGGGCCAGGACATCTCCAAAACTCACTATAGAAATAGAATTCTAGCAGCTGAAACACTAAGCAGAGACAGTTGGGTGGTTTTTGTGGACTCTGCAGCAGGCTAGCTTTGAATCATGCACAAGGCTAGTGCCATGCCCATGATCTAACCTTATACACATTTACTAACTTTTTTATTTACAAATGTGGACATCAAAATTTCAGATATTAAACATACTGAGGAACTAAAGCAAACATAGGCTTAGTCTTATTAATAGGCCATGTTTACTTACTGGGGACTCCTGTAAATTTTCATGTAAGTAACGCTGAGTCCTCTTCACAACAGACATATCAGATCCCAAAAAAGGAATGGAATATGAGTTCAGCTCTTTACAATAGGAAACTGGCCACCTGTAAGACAGAGCCAGGAAAATGTTGCATTTCCTCCAATTACTACAGTGATCACAACTTTGGCTAATAAATCTCCAAATTAAAAAAACCAGAAACCTTTCTTGGAATGACTAATAACAATAAGGCAAAGAGTGTGCCTTTAGTTCAATGTGTTTCTAATAGTTCTTCCTTTGTTCTCCAAACCTACTCCCCTAGAAGCAACAATGACACTTGTTCTTCATACTACTGACACGTACATGCACAGGGTTTGATGCCATCGGCTTCTCTGGAGACTGATTTACACACCACTCAATACCCAAATGGTCATGTCTTACCGCTAAAGTTCTCACACTGATTATGTTAAAGTTATTTACACTGATTTTGATAAATGATCACTTTTAGAGGGCTGGTTAGAGACAGGGTTTCCCGGTGTAGCCCTGGCTGTCCTAGAACTCACAGTGTAGACCAGGCTGGCCTCCAACTCAGAGACACATCTGCTTCTGCCTTCTGCCTAAAATGTAGTTTTATAACATGAAACTCAACTGAAATTTAGTTTTAATGGTGATAGTGAGGTATCATATAATTCATAGAAAGTATTATGTATGTGAAGAAATACATAAAGTATTTAAACTTCATATAATATGCTAATTACATTTTAACTTTGAAAATAATTTGGAATCTGCCGGGCGTTGGTGGCACACGCCTTTAATCCCAGCTCTCGGGAGGCAGAGGCAGGCAGATCTCTGTGAGTTCAAGGCCAGCCTGGTCTACAGAGCGAGTGCCAGGATAGGCTCCAAAGCCACAGAGAAACCCTGTCTCGAAAAAAAAAAAAAAAAAGAAAAAGAAAATAATTTGGAATTTATCAAAAAGTCTCCAAGCTTTTCCAACCAATAGCAATGCAACACACAGACTAAAAACAGTAAAGAATAGATTTTAAATTAATATACCTTCTTTTCAACTTTGAACCAACAATTGGGACAGGTTTCAGACATAATGTACTCCGTAGTGTTCTTAAAGTACCCTTATCTCCAAAACCGTAAATCGCTGACTTCCAGGTACCATCATGAATACACAACCCCTAAGAAAACATTTCACAAGTTAAACGTGTCTTATGGGTAATTACTGAAAGGCAAGATCAAATAAGAGTTACTACATTTCACCTTCATGTGTGTAATTAATCTTGATAGGCATTTCCATGGCCAACTAGGCAGCAATATACTCGATGGCTTGGTTTTAATCACCATTTACCCTAACACAAGTTCCTTCTTCTTTCCCCTGCTTATTCAAGCTGATTGGCACTAATATGACAGTTTTCTGACCTGACTTTTATTACAGATGGGATCACAGTGGGATCACAGACATTCACTCTAATGTATCAGAGTAATTACATCACCCTCTCCACCAAAAAAAAAGGGGGGGGGATTTACTTTCACTCATGTGCATGCCGTATGTATGCCAGGAGTGTCCGGTTCCTGCAGAGACCAGGAAAGAGCATTGGATCTCCTAGAGCTAGAATTGCAGGGGATTGTGAGCTGTCTGACATGAGGGATGGGAACTGAACTCAGGTCCTCTGGAAGAGTTTAAGTGCTCTTAACCACTGAGCCATCATCTCTGCAACCTGTTTGTTTCTACAGCTTCTCATTACAGACTCCTGACCTTACTGCCTCTGCTTCCTAGTGCTGGGCTTACAGTGTAATTCACTATCTTAACTTTCTAAAATTAAACATAGTGACATAGTGACTCTCACACTAAATGGACAAATGCATTAAAATTTAATCTGAATTTTTTCCCCCTTTTGGGTTTTTCGAGACAGGGTTTCTCTGTATTGCTTTGGAGCCTGTCCTGGAACTTGCTCTGTAGACCAGGCTGGCTTTGAACTCAGAGATCCACCTGCTTCTGCCTCCTGAGTGCTGGGATTAAAGGCGTGCGCCACATACGCCTGGCAGTCTGAATCTTTTTTAGGAGCCATGTAATCATTTGCAAAATCTTTTTTAGTATTAGTTAAAAAAGACAGCTAGGCAGGACACTGACCTCACATCCTGAGTGGATCGTTAGGAAGCTTTCCACAGCAGTCAAAGTACCTACAGGAGTAAGAGACAGTAAAGGTCAGATCAATAAACTCTAAATTACTCACCCAGGACAAGTAATAACCTATGTCAGTTCAGGTGGGGACATTTTTATTAAGCTTACAGCTGAAAAATAAATCAGAAAACCTGCACAGACAGCAGTTTTATCATGTTATTATCCACAGATCAAAACACAGTTTAAGGCCAGGAGGACTCCCAGAAAGAAGAGTTTAGCATGACTCTGTTAGTGTTGACAAACTCTCTGTAGTATCTAAATAAACAACGCTAAGAATCTTCTCCAGTAAGACAACAGCTTAACCTGCTCATCCTGAAGGCTCCTCACAACATTTAGTGGGAGTGATTCTGATTGAACATCACTGCTTTCAAGGACCTTTCAGGAGTAACTGAAATTTACTGCAAATGTTCAGAAAAAAAAAAAAAAAAACTCAACAATCCTTGGGCTGGCTTCTAAAATACTTAAAACATGGGCTGGGAATATGGCTCAGTGGTAGAGCTCTTGCCTAGCATGGTGAGGCCCTAAGTTTAATTCCCAGCACCACAAAAAAGCAAAGACAAAAGAAAATACTTAAAGTTGTTAAGATAAAAAAAGAAAGAAAGAAAGAAAAACACATACAACAGGGCTAGGGAGGTAGCTCAGGACAGAGAGAGAGCTGGTCTAGTCATCATGGCTACAAACACAGAGCTCTTCTGCTGTGAGATTTCAGTACCCTTATTGAGCAGTAATTACCGTTCATTTGCTTTCTGGTGTATAACACTCCTAGATCTGCTGGGATGGAGTCAAAGCCACTGCTTCCAATGATATAAACCCCTTTCTCTGCAGCTTTCTCATGATACTTCGCATGCATTAGTTCCAGAAACTAAAAAATCCAGGACAAAAATGTGAATCAGAGCTTATAGAAACACCCAAACCAATATTAAATGATTTCTCTTAAAACAAAGCCATTAAACTGGAAATGCCAACATGTGGTCTGCAGCACAGTACTGTCTGATGGTTTTCACATTCTGAAAATACTAACCCCAAGCTACAATGTGAGAGAAAGCACAGAGAATGTGCTCATCTAACTAAAAAATATGATTATTTTAGGATGTGTTTTAACTATGAAGAATAACAATCATCATTTTTTTTAAATCAACAGATTGTATTACCCAGATGAGCTTTTCCAGACATTAGCTATGCATAGGGGGTAAGAAAGGGGATGGCAGAGGGGACCAAAGCATGCCCTTCCAAATCCCGGTCTAATTGTGGAGGTTTTTGTTTTGTTTTGTTGAGTGCTAGGATGGAACACAGGGCCCACTATGTTAGGCAAGGGCTCCATCACTGGACTACAGCTTCAGCTAAACCAAACTTTAGGATAGATTTATAGGGAAACAAATATTAAAGAGCTTCTATGTTAATTGAAACCCAGTTTCTCCCATTATTAACAGTTTTTATATTAGCATTTGTTACAAATAATGAACCAAAACTGTTTAGTGGCTAAATCCTCTCCTTTAAAAAAATTACTTTCGTTTTGTACATATGGGTGTATTGCTTGTGTGTATGTCTATGTACCACGTGTGTGTAGTACTGTGGAGGCCAGAAAAGGGCACTGAATACCCTTGTGAGCAGCCATGCCAGTGCTGGAAATTGAACCCAGGTTTCTGGAACAGCAACTAGCACTAACCATTGAACCATCTCTACAGCACCCCCAGACATACACACACATATATACATATATATACATGTATACATGTGTGTGCATGGTGGGGTGTTTTGCCTGCATGTTATGTCTGTGCACCACATGTGCCTCTGGTGCCCATGGACACCAGAAGAGGGCAAGAGATCCCCAGGAACTGGAGTTATAGTTGTTAGCATCATGTGGGTGCTGAGAATCAAACCCAAGTCCTCTGGAAGAAGACCTCTTAACCCGAGCCATCTCTCCAGTCCCTCCTCCCCCACTGCTTTGTTAATGGGAGTATCAGGGACCACTCTTAAGGCAAGCGCCCTACCACTGGGGCGAGTCACATCCCTCTGTACTCTTTATTTTGGCATAGGGTCTCTCTAAGTTGCCCAGGCTGGTCTTGAACTTTTGAGAGTCCTGCCTCAATTTATTGAGTAGCTGGGATTACAGGCCTGGCTTGAAGTCCATTCCTAATTTATTCATGTAGATTTTACCCAATGCCCTTTTTCTGACCCAACATCCTGTCCTGAATACCACAACACACATAGACGGCTAAGTTTCCTTGGACTCCCTTAGGCAGGAACAGGTTTTCATATTTTCCTTGATTCTGACAACCTTGATTGTTTTGGGGAACAAAGATCAACAATTTTGTAGATTATACATCTACTAAAATTACCTAATGTTTTTCTTAAGATTAAACTAGCTTAGGTAGGAAGATACATCCTATCAATATAATGTATTAACTTACAATTTGTAAATTTATTGTCATGTGTATACATATGTGTGCACGATGATGGGAGGGACACATGCCATTGCCTGTGTGCAGTCTGTCCTTCCCATCCACATTTACATGAGACCCAGAGAGCAAATGCAGGTAACTAGCCTTTAAGGCCAGCACCTTCACCCACTGAGCCATCTTTTTAGCTGGGATTTCTTGTGTACTCTTCCTGAGGGCGGGGCAGCTGCCTAATCTCCCCTCCCTCCCTCCCTTTCTTTCTTTCTTCCATCCTTTTATGTACTGGAGGCCAAACTCAGAGATTTGTGCTTGCCTACCACTGAGCTAAATTCTCAACCTTTTCTTTATCTTCTCACCATTACTTTTAAACTGGGTTATTTGTATTTTTATATTTCCCTTATTGATATATAATAGTTCTCCAGGGCTGGCAAGAGGGCTCAGCAGTTAAGAGCATTGGCTGCTCTCCCTGAGGACCCAACACCCACATAGCAACTCACAACCACCTGTAACTTCAGTTCCAGAGTAACTGATGGCCTCTTCTGGCCTCTACAGATATCGGGCACAGCACACAGACATGCATACAGGCAAAATACCCATACACATAAAGTAAAATAATCTTTAAAAAATGGTGTTCTGTATATTCTGGGCCTTTATTGGTGCTTGGAGGAAGTTATGTGTTTCTGTTTGTTCTGGTCTTTTCTCAATATATCTGGGGCCCCAAGAATGCTATGCCTCCTGCACACACTTTATTTCCAAATGCAAAGTCTCAATAAATGCATCAGTTAGGAAAGAGGACAGAAGGGCAGTTTTGATTGTCAGGGTAATTCCTGACCCTAGTTTTGTTTTGCACCAAGGTAAATAAACAGCCAGGAGCAAGACTGGGACACAGGGAAGAGGAGTGAGGAGGGGACAAAGTACAGACCTGTTAGGCTGTGATACTACTCTTTTGGTGAGTTATAAAACAACACACAAATTCTTCACAATTTTCTACGCTCTGGATTACTTTAAACAACACAGAATTGTTTTTTGTTTAAGCCATGTGTCCTTCCTGCTCTGATCAATTTTGGTAATTCTCACTTTCCTAGTGTTTTCCAATCTGTAACACCAATTGATAATCTCTAAGCACAGACTATACAGAATGCTGGTGACGGTCAGTAGATACTACAGAGACGCGTGAATCTACATTGTGAAGGCGGTGGGGACTTTAGTGCCTCTTGACACAGAACCCCCCCCCCACAGTGCAGCCATTTACTAGGTGTACTAGTACTAGTACTAGTACTTCCATTTACTAGGTGTGTGGCTATGAGCAAATGACTTCATCTTTTAAGCTTCCATTTCTTCATGGATAAAACAGGGAAGAAGAAAAGTACAGACACTATTTTTTTTTCCTGAAGAGTTACATAAGGTGCTCAGCACAGTGCTTAGCAAATGAAAATCATTAAATATGATGAGAACATTTACATTCAATTACATAATGTATACTTTATATAACACACACACACACATATTTGCTGGGGATTGAACTCGGGGCTTCAAACATACTAACTACATGGTCTACCACTGAGTTGACCACCTAACCCACCATCCCTCATTTAAAACTTTGAAGCTGTTGGGATCCCCCACTTTTTGAAATAGGGATTTCACTGTGTAGCCCTGGCTGGCCTGGAACTTGTTACGTAGACCAGGCTGGCCTTGCACTCACAGGGATCCTCTCACTTCCTTTGTTTTGTGTTGTTTTGAGTAAGGGTCTTTTGTAGCCAGGTTGGGCTTGAATAGGATAACCCTGAACACCTGCTCCTCCTGCCTCCACATCCTGAAAGCTAGGACTCTAGGCATGAGCCACCACCCCAAGTTTATGCACCATAGGGAATGGAGCAGACTCAAGGTCTGGTGTATGCTACTCAGTCTAACAACTACAGAAATCCCCAGCCCAAGGTAAGGAGACTTTACAATTATTTTTCTGTAATGTTGTAAAGACACTTGTTTTAAAAAGGGAAATAATAATGAAAATGTTACTAAGAGACACAGTCTGAGAATTATGACACTGTGTTAATAATTCATCTTACAGAATTCAGTAACTATAAAAAAAAACAGCACATCCGCACACAATGGAAATAACTACAATGCAAAATGAACAATGAAGCTAAGATCATATCAATGTTCTTCCTCAAGCCAGGGACTGAACACCATGAGACCACCAGCTCTAAAAACTAGAAATGCAGCTGTCAGCTTCCAAATGTCTACAGAATAGTACTAAATATGCTTGCCCTTCACAGAAAAATTATGGATGGCTAGTTTTGTTTTCTCTTTTTGATTTACATACCTGAGGTTCCCCACAGATGTCAATACAACTTGTTCCATTTTCAATACATGCTTTTACTACAGGTTCTCCATAAAATCGATACTGGGGAAATAAAGAAAACCAATGAGTTATTCTTACTTCACAAGTTTAACTGAAGCAAAGGTCATTTATACAACTGGGAAAAAGGCTCAGTATGTAAGTACCTGCCAAACATGCATGGAGAAGAGTTCAGATCCCCAGAACCCACGTAAGGAACCTGAGATAGTATTACCTGTCTGATCCATAACATGTATATAATCTCAGTGTTCTTTTGTTGTTGTTGTTATTGTTTCTTTGTTTTGTTTTTCGAGACAGGGTTCTCTGTATTGTTTTGGAGGCTGTCCTGGCACTCACTCTGTAGACCAGGCTGGCCTCAAACTCACAGAGATCCGCCTGTCTCTGCCTCCTGAGTGCTAGGATTAAAGACATGCGCCACCGCCACCCGGCTAATCTCAGTGTTCTTATGGTGAAATGAAAGTTGGTAGCAGAAGGTCTGGAAGCTCATGGGCCAGCTAGCTTGGAATGTGCAGTGACAAGAGACCCTGTTTCAAACAAGGTAGAAGGTTGTTCTCTCACCATAACTGTACCATGGTGCATACACACACACAATCACAAACAATAAAAGACCACTTCACTTTTAGAAGCAAAATATTAAATTATCAAAAAATCAAATGTGTGGCTGATAAGATAGTTTAGCAGGTAAAAGTACCTGCTGTCAAACCTGAGAACCTGAGTTCAATCCTAGGGACTCATATGGTAGGACAAAATAGTATCATACTGATAAACTGGAAAAATAAGGTAACTGTACTGTACTGCCTCTCACTGTGTGTAAAGACACAATGGAATCAGAGGCATGCAGGCTGGGGAAATGGCTCAGAGGTTGAGAGCACTGACTGCTGTGGTGATATTTTTGTTTATGATCTAATAAAGGCTGCCTGAAGATCAGAGTGCAAAGCTAACCACAGCCATAGAGACCAGGCAGTGGTGGCACACACCTTTAATCCCAGCACTCAGAAGACAGGCAGACAGATCTCTGTGAGTTCAAGGCCACCCTGGGCAGCATGAGAGTGTATCAGTCTAAAAGAGAAACCGAGCTCATACCTTGAATCCCAGCACTAGGGAGGTGGAGGCAGGAGTGACATGGTTGGGTGGAGAGAGGAATATAAGGCAGAAAGAGACAGAAATGAATTGCAGTCTAGGCAGTCTGAGGAGCAGTGCAGTTTGGAGATGCAATCAGAGCACACTATCGCCCCCTTTGGTCTGAGCATTGGTAGAGGTGAGAACTCTCTAGCGGCTGGCCGCTTTGCTTCTCTGGTCTTCAGCTTTAACCCCAATATCTGTCTCTGGGTTTTTATTATTCGTGCTACAGGCTGCTCTTTCAGAGGGCCTGGGTTCAATTCCCACACCCACATGGCAGCTCACAACTGTCTGTGACTCCAAGATCTGACACCCTCACACAGACAGATAGACATGCAGGCAAAACACCAATGCACATAAAAAACAAATTATGAAAAAAAAGAAAAAGGAATCAGAGGCATGCTGTTAATCTCCAACTAAAGACAAAATGGGAAGTTTTATAGAATAAATAATTTACTTGAGTTAGATCCAAAAGCACAAGGATTTGTATGGAAAAATAAAAATAAAAGCAAAAATAGATGTACAGATATAAAAAAAAGAAAGCTATTATTGGTAAAAGCACAAGCTGGCTGAGTCTGAAGTAGTAAGGAGCGAGTTTAGAAAGAAATGCTAAGGCCACATGGGGAAGGACCAGAAGTGTCACCTACCGCATACACACACACACACACACACACACACACACACACACCCCAGGACTGTTCAAATGAGCCAGCTGTGTAGGCACACAGCACTCACATTTACCATCTTTTCTGTTATTAACAGCGGCACTCTACAAGCAATTCTCAGGTTTGAAAACTGGAAGCTTTCTTTCAACCTACCTCCCCTGTAAGTCAGCAAGTTTTGTCAAGTCTGTCCATATTATATTACCTCTCCCCTAATTTTCTACAAATCCTCCAGTCACTTCACAGTAACCAATCTAGCCAATTTCCAAAGAAATGTCAAATTATTATTTTAAAATAAAACCTGGATTCAACCTTTCCTTCTTTCCCAATTATGTTAGTTTATCCAGCTTTCCAGTGCCTACATTATAAAGTCTAAACTTACCTCATCACAAGTTCTTAACCATCGTGTCACGTCACAGCCCCTTCATTCTCATGCTCCAGCCATTCTAAAGATGATGTAATGTCACACCCAGTGGTGTTTGCTGCTACCACCTGGACCCACCTCTGTCTACTATGCATCTGCTGGCCTGGCTCCTAACAGTATAGCCTCAGGCTCACTTTCTATGTCTCTCGCCTTACTGCTTTGTCACACTTAGCCACTTAACCATTGCGTAATCTGAGGACGCTCCCACTAACTTATCTCTATTTTATTATGCTGTTAAGATTTTTTTTCTTTATTGGGCCTGGAGAGAGGTCAGTGGTTAGAGCACTTACTGCTCTTGCAGAGGACCTAAGTTTAGTTCTCAGTACCCACATCAGGTACTTCCAACTGCCTGCAGATCCAGCTCCAGGGGATCTGACACCCTTTTCTTGCCTCCATAAGATCCTACACACATGGTCTAAATACACATGCATATAAATAAAAATAAAAAACACAAAGATTTTCTTTATTAGACTCCTGAGTTTGTACAAGGTAATCAGAAAGACTCAGAGTAATAATCTTTGATTGCTCATCAGTTCTCAACACTTCATGTTCTAGCCAGTAGGCTCCCAGGTAAGTATACCTCCACCTGTACCTCCACCAGGAGTATACAAAGTGATCCACTGAGGGTGACAGTAAATATATTTATACATTTATTCATGCTAATTTGGGGCATGAAAAATAATGTTATTACTAGTTGATTTTTTTCTCAAAATACTTATAAATTAACATGAGAAATAATAACTGAAATAAATGTGGATTAACCCCTGGGTCATGTCAGGTGGTCAAATACCAAATATAGGATACAGGTGGTACTCTTAAGTGGCATGGGAGAGTTCCACAACATCAAGGGAGCTACAATGATAGCATCATTCATTTAGCTCTTTTCTCCTACTGCTGCCTAATGCTTGCTTACACATGTCTAACAGAGGAGAGTCTGATGCTTAAGCTCTGAAGCCTTGGGTATTTAGAGAGACGATACAAAGATCCAACAGTGAAGAACTATGAGCCTGATGGGTAGGAGAAAAACTAGGAGAGAATTCAAAAACCAAGTAAACAACAGAGAAAATGAGCCAGTTATCATTACTCACAACCATAATCCTAGCATTCAGGAAGCTGAGATAGGTGGATTACCATGAATTTGAAGACAGCCAATGCTAATAGTGAGTTCCAAGACAGCCTGGGGTTGTCAAATAAGATTATATCTCAAAAATTAATGAAAAAATTAAGAAAAGGAAGAAAATTCCAGCACGATTGCAGAGAGGTGGTTCAAGATGAGGACTGAGAGGAGCGCATTTGGCAGGAGACCTGAAAGAGAGAGGGCAAAAGAGAGAGAGGGCAAAAGAGAGAGGGCAAAAGAGAGAGAGGGCAAAAGAGAGAGGGGGGCAAGAGAGAGA